GTAGGCGTAAGGATCCAACCTCAAGAAGTAATTGACGGATTCCCCAAGAGCCAAAGTGTAGGCGTAAGGATCCAACCACAAGAACATTATTTTATTCACTGATTTATTTGTTCTATATAAAGAGCTGATAAGAATCTATATTTACTAAAAACAAATATAAAAAAATTTTAATCATCTATGATCATATAAATTTACCATATCATTATTAATCCTTTGTATCTGTTTATTAGCATTTTAATTATGACATTTGGATATATGATTTCTAATATGCTTTTTATATATTTTTAGATATACTTTTTGTACATATTATATAAGGGTTGCTTATGTTTAAAAAGCTTTTATTATTTAATTTATTTAAATTGAGTGTATTTTTTTTCTGTCTTCTGAATCTAATCTTGTAAGAGTTTATTTAACTCATCCTCATGACCAGCTTTAAAAGCTAAATTAACTGCTTTTTTTTGCATATTCAAGGCTTTGATTATATCTTATTTGATGAAATAAACTCTGTTTAACTGTCTCTAAAAATATTTGAATATGGCAGATCTTATTAAGAAAGTCAAAATCTATTTCGATTTGATACTTATATGTAGATTTGTTACCATCTCTCTTGCTAGCAATGCTAATTACAACTTCTTCTTGAGAATCATATGTTATTTTATTATACCACTGAGTTAAAATAAGGCCAATATGAAATATAGCTTTATTTGAACAGAATATCATAAAAAAAGTGGCAACAAACTAGCTCTTTCATCACAAAATTTATACAAGTATACAGGTGATTAGTATTTTTGCAAATTATTACAAAATGTTATTTAAATTATTTAATAGTTATTATATGCCAAATTTCTTGAATGGTAGACTTTTCTACATATTTAACTAATAAATTTATATTTGATATAATAGATTCATATTTGTTTTTAGCAAAGTTTATATTATTTATTAGATTCATCATATCTTCATGCATTTTGTAAGCTCCTTCTTGGTCTTTGCTAAAACTTTTTTGAAAGTTGGCTTCTCTATCCACAGTGTCTATCTATATACAGAAAATATTTAATTTAAACTTTTGTTTTATTATTAGATGATATTTTTCTTGACTAGGATCTAGCTACAAAGCATATTAAAAATTACAGATTAGAAAATAGATTTGAAGTTGTTAAACATTAGCTCTAAAGAAACAAAAACAACAAAATTGTTTACCATACTTTTGAATACAAAATTTCTTGTAAATATTATGTAAAAAAAAATTGATACAGAAAATAATTATATATGAGAAAGTGGTTGTTCTTAGAATTATCTCTCTGATGGTATTATACATATTATATCAATGTACAAGAAGTATAATTATTCATTAAATCAAGACATACAAAATTAGGATCAAAGTTTCTATATCTTAGTTCAGAAATACTCAAAGAGGTTCAATTTTTCATAAATATTGGATGTAGCACAGGCCCAATTATTTGTGAACTTCAAAAATATTTTTCAAATACTATAATCTACTCCAAAAAAATATTATCTGCAATTTTTTATAATCATAAATCCTTATAAGTAAAGAAGTCAAAGCTTCATCTAGACAACTT